TTCTAAAACCAGCTTGAACATCTGGAAGTTCATGGTTCATGTACTGTTGAAGCCTTGTTTGGAGAATTTTGAGCATTACTTTACTAGCGTTTGAGATTAGTGCAGTTGTGCGTTAGTTTGAGCATTCTTTGTCATTGCCTTTCTTTGGGATTGGAATGAAAACTGATCTTTCCTAGTCCTGTTGGCACTGCTGAGGTTTCCAAATTTGCTGGCATATTGAGTGCAGCACTTTTACAGCATAATCTTTTAGGATTTGAAATAGCTCAAATGGAATTCCATCACCTCCATTAACTTTGTTCGTAGTGATGCTTCCTAAGACCCACTTGACTTTGCATTCCAGGATATCTGGCTCTAGGTGAGTGATCATAGCAACATTTGTTATGTGGAGCACAGGGTGCTAGATGGTGAGCTGAAGCAACAAGATGGTTCAGCAACAGACTGTAAGAGAAATTAAAATAGAGAAGTTTATTATTTGTAGGTACTGGAGGAAGTACATGGTGCTTTGAGCCCACCCAAGGAGGTCAAGGGAGAATGTAGACAGAGAGCAAGGCAGGACCTAGGCACATGCCTTTATTAGGGTCTATGGCTAGAGTGCTTTGTGATTCCTGGGCTAGGGCCAGATTGGTTAAATCATACTATAAGAGGAAAGTTCTTGTAAGCCCTATGAGAGTCTTATCTAAGGGGCACATAAAGCATACAGGTGCTGGGAAACATGGGAGACTGTTGACCAAAAGGACTGTTGGGAGAGTGATATCAAGAACTTTTATTGGCTTATGACTAAGGGCTGCTGTCTAGATCATTTCTAGATCACTAGCACCTGAGAGTGCTAGTGTCAGTTTGAGGTCTCTGTGGTTCATTGGACAAACAAAATGGAATCCAGGCAATATCATTGATGCCAAGCTAATACAAAGCAATACCATTAGCTAAGGTGTTAACATTCGCTAAGGAGAGTTAGCTTCCAATATCAAAAAAGACAACTCTATACATGGACATCATCAGATGATTGATACCTAAATCAGATTGATTATATTCTTTGCAGCCAAAGATGGATAAGCTGTATACAGTCAGCAAAAACAAGGCCTGGAACTGACTGTGGGTCGAATCATCAGCTCCTTACTGCAAAATTCAGTCTAAAATTGGAGAAAGTAGGGAAAACCACTAGGCCATTGAACCTAAATCAAATCCCTCCACATAGTGGAGGTGACAAATAGATTCAAGGGATTAGATCTGGTAGACAGAGTGCCTGAAAAACTATGAACAGAGGTTCATAACATTGTATAGGAAGTGGTGACCAAAATCATCCCCAAGAAAAAAAAGGGCAAAAAGGCAAAGTGGTTGTCTGAGGAGGCCTTACAAGAGCCGAGTAAAGAAGAGATGCGAAAGGCAAAGGAAAGAGGGAAGGATATACACAACTAAATGCAGAGTTCCAAAGAAAAGCAAGGAGAGATAAGAAAGCCTTCTTGTGTGAGCAATGAAAAGAAATAGAGGAAAACTATAGAGTGGGAAAGACCAGAGATCTTTTCAAGAAAAGTGAAGATACCAAGGGGACATCTCATGCAAAGATGGGCGCAGTAAAGGACTGAAATGACAAGAAGCAGAGATATTAAGAGTATTAAAATATTAAGAAGAGGTGGCAAGAATACACAGAACTGTGTATTTCTTAATGACCCAGATGACCACAATGGTGTGGTCACTCACCTAGAGCCAGACATCCTGGAGTGTGAAGTCAAGTGGGCCGTAGGAAGCATTACCACAAACAAAGCTAGTGGAGCTGAGCTATTTCAAATCCTAAAAGATGATGCTTTTAAAATGCTACACTTAATATGCCAACAAAGTTGGAAAACTTACCAGTGGCCCCAGGACCGGAAAAGGTCAATTTGGGATTGGGATTCCAATCCCAAAGAAAGACAATACCAAATAATGTTCAGACTGCCATACAGTTGCACTCATTTTACTTGCTGGCAAGATTATGCTCAAAATCCTTCAAGCTAGGCTTCAGTAGTACATGAACCGAGAACTTCCAGATGTTCGAGCTGGATTTACAAAAGGTAGAGGGACCAGAGATCAAACTGCCAACATCTTTAGGACTACAGAAAAAGCAAGAAAATTTCAGAAAAACGTCTACTTCTGCTTCATTGACTACACTAAAACCTTTGACTGTGTGGATTGCAGCAAACTGGAAAATTCTTGAAGAGATGCCAAACCAGACCACCTTATTGGCCTCCTGAGAAACCTGTATGCAGGTCAGAAAGCAACAATTAGAACTGGGCATGAAACAGTGGACTGGTTCAAAATTGGGAAAGTAGTACATCAAGGCTGTATGTTTTTACCCTGCTTATTTAACACGTGAATACATCACGTGAAATTCTGGGCTGTATGGCTCACAAGCTGGAATCGATATTACTGGGAGAAATATGGGTAACCTCAGATATGCAGATGATGCCACCCTGATGGTGGAAAACGAAGATGAACTAAAGGGCCTCTTGATGAAGGTGAAAGAGGAGAGTGAAAAAGCTGGCTTAAAACTCAACATTCAAAAAACTAATATCATAGCATCTGGTCCCATCATTTCACAGGAAAAAGATGGGAAAAAGTGGAAATANTAAATTTACAATTTAAAAATGTGACAGCCAAGAAACACTTTTTTCAATTCCACTAGCTAAACAAACACCTTTTCATTCTTCTCACTTCCGTGCTACTTGACTACTACTATCTATAGTGAGTAAACTCCGTAGGTCAAGAAGTAGAAGATGAAAGGAGAAAAAAAAACAACACAAAAAAACTTGTGTAAAATTCTTCCTGCAGTTTATGGTGAGTGGGTGGTAACTTTACCTGAATTTGGTGAGAGGATTTTGAGCTGAACTAAACTATAACAATATCAATATTTACATGTAATTGAATGTACAAAAGAAGACCTTTTAGGTTCAAAGGGAGTGAAAGAAAATAGATGTGGCCAGAGAAATGATTAGGAAAGATAGAGGCACCATTAAATAGTAAACTTTCACTTCCTCACTTGGAAAATGAAGTCAGTATCCTTACTTGGCTAAGCAGTTTGCTGAATTCTTTGATTATATCTCAACAGCTATTAAGTCCATCTTTCATTAAAAAAAAATTGAAATATAGCTAATTTGCTTCCCTGGTAGCTTGGTGGTAAAGAATCTACCTGGTAATGCAAGGGGTGCGGATTTGATCCTTGGGTCAGGAAGATCCTCTGGAGAAGGAAATGGCAACCCACTCTAGTATGCTTGCGTGGGAAACTCATGGACAGAGGAACCTGGTGGGCTACGGTCCAAGGGCTTACAGAGAGTTGGACACAACTTAGCAACTAAAACAACAACAAAATAGCTAATTTATAAGTGTAAGCAAAGTGATTCAGCTACATATATATAGATATACACACACGTGCATATATATATATATATTTTCAGACCTTTTCCATTATAGGTTATCTTGCATGTTTTCTAAGATCTCCATTTTATGGTTTTGATAATTAATGTACTTGTTTTAAAACATCTATTCGAGTTATATGAATGTGAGACCTTTATTTTTCTAAAGATCTTGATTATTTTGTGGTTCTTTTCTGATCATTCTATTATGTTTTTAGTGTTCAGGTTATTCTTTTCATTGACATACTGCATGAATTTGTTGATGCTCCTTACATGTTTTGATTGCTGTCTGTGAGCTCATGTTTTACAGAGTACTCTTAGTGTCTTGATCTTAGATAGCTCTCGCTCGGATAGCTGCTTGCTTGTTCCATTCTTCTTGATGTATATTATAACTCCTCACCAAAGAGAATTTCCTTACTTATTTGTAACGTGGTTTTTGTTCACACATCTATATTTTATACAGGCATACCTTGGAGATATTGAGGGTTTATTTCCAGACCACAGCAATAGAGTGAATATAGGAATAAAGCAAGTCACACAGTCTTTTAATTTCTCAGTGCACATAAAAGTTCTTTTTATACTATACTGTTACTATACTGTAGTCTGTAAGTGTACCATAGCATTATTTATAAAAAATGTTCATGCCTTAGTTAAAAATTATTTTATTGCTAGATAGCTAACTGTAGCTATTTATGAATAACTTGCCTTCAGTGAGTAGTGGTAGTAACATTAAAGATCCTTGATCACAAATCACTACAACAAATATAATAGAAATGAAAAATCTTGAAATATTGCAAGAATTGCCAAAATGTGATACAGAGATAGGAAGTAAGCAAATGCTGTTGGACAAATGATGCCAATAGTCTTGCTTGATGTATGGTTGCCACAAACCTTCAGTTTGTAAAAAATGCAGTGTCTTCAAAGTACAGTAAGACAAGTTATAGGTCTGTATTGTTAAAATATAATTTCTCCAGGTTTTATATGTTGAGAAGGTAATCTCTGTTATCTTGAAATGAACAGTATAAAACAGTCTTGACATACAATACATGGAACAAGTTTAATCCTGTTTCTCTTAGCTTATCATTAGCAATTTTCTCTCATAATCTCCTTTAGGAGTAGAACATGTCAAAACAGTTTTTAAAGGGGTCAAATACCTTACACAAGATAGAGAAATTGACATGGTGGCTTGCAGTTATATAAGAAAATGTACATTCACATGAACCAGAAACCTTCCAAAATGGAAGGTGTTAAGTTTTATTAAGGTAGTAGATTTTTTTTCTTTTAGAATTCCAGAACTTCTATATTATATTGTTTTTTAAAGAGAATATGTATTTTGAATATATATTCTGAATAACTTTTTAAAAATGATACCACTTATACAGAGCCCCATTTAAAGTACCCAGTTACCTATAGGACAAAGTTAAAACTTCTTCACTAAATATCCCCAAGGTTCTTCACTCATCTGTTCCCAAATTGCTTCTCTTATCTCCCAGTTTTCTTATACCTCATCTAGTTGGTCTTGTCACCCCTATCCTTGATGCAGATGCTACTAATTTTCTTTCTTTCTTTTTTTTTTTTTTACTGTATTTTAAGGATTGAAACTTATTTTTGCAGGGTCATTTTTATAGGTACAGGACTCTGGTTCTTCTGGTCCATTGTCTTACTGAGTTTCCTTGGGATCCTGGCTGCCTACACATCATTGCTCTTGGTGAGTAGTGTTTTCCGTTTCTCCCACTCCTTTCGTGAGTAGCCTCACTAGGTGCTCTGTCTGTGGCGTGGTTCTCAGTTGGTGCTGGGAGCCCTCAGAACCTCAGATCATACTTAGCAGAGTTGGCATTTACATTAGCCACCTGAATATTAGGCAGGAGGGACAGATGGAGGAAAAAATGCTTGTGCTGTTAGAGGATGTGTCTTACCACTTTGACCCTTATAAAGAGTGGTAGAACATCCTTTTTCTCTTCTCTTGTTTCATAGCCTATTTCCTGGCACACTTAGTATTATCATTTTAGATGCTCACACCTTCATATGGCAGTACCTTTACATATTGAACTACTCATTCCATCCATAGCCTATCCCCTGAGAGTAAGTCTTTCTGGGTCTTATAAATTAGCTAGCCTGTCAGACCTGTTTTAATGCACAGTTGCTAGTCCCTTAGTCCAGGTGCACTAACTTGTTGGCTCAGACAGTAAAGCGTCTGCTTGTAATGTGGTAGATTTGGGTTCAATCCCTGGGTAAGGATCCTCTGGAGAAGGAAATGGCAACCCACTCTGGTCCTCTTGCCTGGAGAATTCCATGTACTGAGGAGCCTGGTAGGTTGCAGCCCATGGGGTCGTAAAGAGTCGGACACAACTGAGTGACTTCACTTAGTTTAGGTGCAGAGTACATTTTAGCAAATGTCTTTAGGCAGTAGAGACCCTGCCTCTGTTTCCGAACACAGTAGGGTCATGTAGTATGAGAAATCCAGGCCAGGAAATAGAGGAATTTGAAGAAGTGGAAAGCTTGTGAGAAGCTGATTCTTAGGTAACTGGAATTTTTCAGTGCCTTCTTATATATGGGGCATAAATATCTTTCTCTGATTCCATGATTCCTTGTCTCCACTGATTTCTTGTCTGATTCAGAAGAACTCAACCCCCAAATCAGTTAATTTTTGCCATAATATCAGTAAATATTTGCCTTAATTTTTCTTTCAACAAAATGTGTTGATCATTATATGAGTGATAATAAGTACTGAGGATGTAGAAATCAACAAGACACGTGCAGATTCTGTTTTCATGGGGGCACTTCAGAGTGACAGATATGAGATATAAAGTTATAATAGTCTTTAAATCTTAAAAGATGAAGCTGTCAAAGTGCTGCACTCAATATGCCAGCAAATTTTGAAAAAACAACAGTGGCCACGGAACTGGAAAAGGTCAGTTTTTATTCCAATCCCAAAGAAAGGCAATGCCAAAGAATGTTCCAACTACCGCACAGTTGCACTCATCTCACATGATAGCAAAGAAATGCTCAAAATTCTCCAAGTCAGCTTCAACAGTATATGACCTGGGAACTTCCAGATGTTCAAGCTGGATTTAATAAAGGCAGAGGAATCAGAGATAAATTGCCAACATCCATTGGATCATCAAAAAAGCAAGAGAGTTCCAGAAAAATATCTACTTCTGCTTTATTGACTGCACCAAAGCCCTTGACTATGTGGATCACAACAGACTGTGGAGAATTCTTTTACAGATGGGAATGCCAGACCACCTTACCTGCCTCCTGAGAAATCTGTATGCAGGTCAGGAAGCAAGAGTTAGAACTGGACATGGAACAACAGACTGGTTCCAAACAGGGAAATGATTACATCAAGGCTGTGTATTGTCACCCTGCTTATTTAACTTATATGCAGAATACATCATGAGAAATGCTGGGCTGGATGAAGCACAAGCTGGAATCAAGNGAGATGGTTGGATGGCATCACCGATTCAATGGACATGAGTTTGAGTAAATTCTGGAAGTTGGTGGTGGACAGGGAGGCCTGGTGTGCTGCAGTCCATGGGGTCGCAAAGAGTTGGACATGACTGAGCGACTTAATTGAACTCAGGGGATATTGAAGAAAAAGGAATAACATAATTTTATTTTATTTTTTTATTTTTTTTAATAACATTTTAGATAGGCTTATAACAGACTTTGGAAGGCCTGAAAAGTGAGTGAGTTCATTAAGCATAAATTAGATTTCTACATTGAAATGAATTAGCCATGGATTTACATGTATTCCCCATCCTGGTCCCCCCTCCCACCTCCCTCTCCACCCTTAGCCTCCAACTAATAAAAATAAATGAAAAAAAAAATTAGATTTCTGTTTAGGAAAATCATCCTGGAAGTTGTGGTCTGGAGCCTCAGTCTCCTGAGCCTCAGTTTCTTTTCTTCCAAATGAGCAAGATAATATTTAATAAAATGGTATTTTATAAGGTTGAATAAATAACAAGTGAACTATATTCATGAAATTGTTTTGATAAAAATCTGCCTCATACATTCTGTCTTTCATATCCTAAGCATCTGAGGACTCTGTTTTTTCATTCCTGTCTCCAGACTGACTTGGTGACTGGCTAGATTTAGGTTCAAATTCTATCTAAGATTTATTGACTAAATACCGATGTTAATGATAGTGGCTAGTAGTTATAACAGTGGCACTGGGTCCTCAAGACAGGTTTTTTAGATGACCCTTGGAAGGGCTGGCCCTTGACCTCTGTTCTCTAAGAAGTGACTGAGTAATACCTACCAAGAAATTGGTAGGAACTCAAGAAAGATATCAATATACTAACTTTGCAAAATCCCAGAGAAGATAATAATAAATTCTTCCAGGGGTTGGTGGTGAAAGGTACAAGTAGGAGGTGACATGTGAACTTTCTTTGAAGCTTCGGTGGCATGGGGAGGCGGGGAGCTTTTTAGCAGAGGAACAGTATGGCAAATTCCCAGCATATGAAAACTGCAGATGTAGCAAGAAGTGAATGTAATACCAGACTGTGAAAGGAATTTTGAATTCAGGAAAGCGTTTTTGGCAGCATCTTGGGGATTTCAAAATAATCTTTTTTTTTTTCTTTTTTTTCTTTTTTCAGGTACTTGGGTTTTTGTTGCTTTGGGAGGGGATTGAGTTGTACCTGCACTGGTGTCATAAGGTAGGACATCTGAATCTTCATAGGAGTCCTGAGACCAGGACTGAATGTGCCTCTTTAGCATTGTGTCAAACACAGAACTTCCCTTTGTTTTGTTGTTCCCCTTATTAAAAAAGTCTACTTACACTGTTTTAATTGAAATCGTTAAATTTGTAAGAAAGGTAACTGATGTACTGAAGGAACTGAACCTAAACTTTGTTCTCCCTACCATGGACTCTGTGACTGTTCTCATTCCAATAAAATCTTAGGCAAGCTCCATTATTTTCCCAGTCCTTTATAGTCACAAGAACAGTCTTGTTTCATTCATTAAAAATTGCGCTTCACTCCAACTTCATAAAGTATTTCCCTTCCCCTATTTCACATGACCCAGGCATGGGAACCTGCAGTGGTGGAAAGAGCATGGTTATCCTTTCACCTTTCTTCCAGAGTATGGCTCAGGGGAAGGAGAAATAGGATAAAAGAACACAGTCCCACAGGGAGGTGTTGGTCCTATCAGGACCAAGTAAATGCAGTTGTTGGCTCTTAACCGCATAGATTTTTCCATGTATATTTTCAGAGACCCTTCTGCTGAGAACCTTGATTGCAACTCCTTTGGTAAAGTGAATGCCTGTTTTCCTGTAGGCCCTGATGCTTCTCTGCTGAGGTCCTTTTGACTCTCCCTTAGTTTGAAGCCCTTTAAAGTTATATTAGCAATTACAAAGGATCCATACCTGTTCTGAGGAAGCAGGCATTACTGACCCAGCACCTGAAGACATGCAGCTCCTTTGCAACATTGCCTCCCTTGTCTTATACTGCCATGGGCTTGAGCATCTCCAGCACAGCTTGTTGGTATTTATAGACTTTTTTTTTAGGCATGGTTTTCCTTGTATTTCCTCAAATTCAGGAGCATGTCAAATTCTCTGAGTGGTCTCCTTAAATTTCCTCTTTTTCAAAAGCAAAGAATGAACTGAAAATATAAATTTAAGGATTAGAACAGATGGAAATTGAAGTTGTAAGTTCTTAAGGGAAAGAGTGTAGACTGAAAAGTACATAAACAGGCCTATTGAGATCACCATCTACTTTGGGATTGGGACAGCATGATCAGTTAGTTACTATCAAGTTATAACCCTATGGGGTAAACCATTCTGATTATCATTCCAGCCTTGTGCCTTTTACAGAAACCATGCTTACCTTGCCCCTGGCAGTGAGCACTGCTACTTGACCTCTGCCACAGCAGAATCTCATCACTGCCTTTGAACTCAGGAAGCCAGTTTGAGTGGCAACACCCCTCACCTTTATCCAGGCATAAAGCATGGCCACTACGGTGCTTTTCAAGGATGCTGACACTTTCTCACTATGTGTTTTTTGGTGTCCTCTGAGACCTCCCATAGAGCCCAGTATGGTGTGGGTTAGCTTATTATAGGTGATTGCATTCCAGAAACCTGTTTTCAATAAACCATTGAATTCTTTCTTCCATATTATACCAAGAAATTGCTGGCATCCCAATTTTATAATGCATCGGTTACCATTTTTTAAAAAATTGAAGTATAGTTGGTTTACAGTATTATATTAGTGTTAGGTATGTAACAGTGATCAATATATTTATATTATATTTCATTTAAAGTTATTATAAGCTGTTGGCTATATTCCCTGTGCTGTACATTACATCCTTGTATCTTACTAAGTTTTATATCTAGTAGTTAGTGTCTCTTAATCCCCTTTCCCCATCTAGCTCCTCCTCTGCTAGTAACCACTAGTTTGTTTTCTGTATCTGTGAGTCTGTTTCTGTTCTATTATATTCATTTTGTATATTCTACACATGCATGAACACATACAGCACTTCTCATTCTTGGTCTGGTGTACTCTACTAAGCATAGTATCCTCCAGACCCATCCATTTTTTGCAAACGGCAAAGTTCCATTTTTTTTAATGTCCTAGTTGTATTCCATTGTGTGTATGTACACACACACACACACACACACACACCCATTACATCTTTTTATCCATTCATCTGTTGTTGATGAACAGTTAGGTTGCTTCCACAACTTGGCTATCATAAATAAAGGTGCTATGAGCATTGGGGTGCATGTATCTTTTTGAATTGATGTTTTCATTTTCTTTAGCATAACCCTAGGAATGGAATTGCTGGAACATATGGTAGTTCTGTTTTCAATTTTTTTGAGGACCTTCCATATTGTGTTTCATAGTGGTTGTATTAATTTATATTTGTACCAGTGTGTGCTAGGATTCCGTTTATTCTACATCCTTGCCAACATTTATTATTTGTTGAGTTTTTGACAATAGCCATTTTGACAGGTGTGAAGTGATACCTCATTGTGGTTTTGCTTTGCATTTTTCTGATGATTAGTGATGTTGAGCACCTTTTCATATGCCTTTTTCGCCATCTCTCTGTCTTCTTTGGAAACATGTCTGTTCAGGTCTTGTGCCCAATTTTAAATTGAGTTGTTTCTTTCTTTCTTTTTTTTTTTTTGAGTTGTTTCTTTTTTTTAATGTTGAGCTGTATGAGCTCTTTATATATTTTGGATGCCCTTATCAGGCATATGATTTCCACATATCTACTCTCATTCAAAAGATAGTCTTTTAATTTTGTTGATTGTTTCCTTTGCTGTATCAGTTCAGTTCCATAGCTCA